TGTGGAGGTATCCGTGTTTTAAGGGCAGAATCTATCATATAAATACCTTGGCCTGAAGGACATTTGTTGCCACATCAATCACTGCAAGGCCCGTGGCTCCAGCGGCTGCCGTCACTAGAACACTTTCTCTGTGCCAGGGAGAGGTGAACGTTACTTCAGAAACGAAAAATCATCCAGCAATGTGATTTCATGAATATTTCAAAACCGGGACATTTTAAAGCAAGAAGAGAACTTAGAGACCATTTCATTCAACTCTTTAAGGACGTCCATTCTCCAGTTTTTAGGGCTGGGTGATGGCGAGATCAGGGCCAATTGGGTCGTTTTGAAGACTTCCCAGGAAAAAAGTTCCTTAATTTCTCTAAGTAGCCTCTTCTTCATGCCAGTGGCAAACTTTCCTTGGAGATACCACTCCAATTTCTGCTTCAGAAATTCTGTCCTAAAATCATTCTCATACTAAATACTGCGGAATTTGAGAAGGTGGTGATCACATCACAATCAACTTCTCAATGAAACCCATCTCTCTGGGTAATTCTGAGTCTCTCTGAAAAGATCAAAGGGTAGTAGGTATACTCCAGGTAAAGTGGGAAACTTCAGCACCTCTGAGTTTGAAATACCTCAGTTAGGTCCACCCAACCAAGCCTCACAGAAGCTAATACCATAAAAAAAAAGAAAAAAAAGAAAAGAAAGAAACTAATACCACAGGCCTCCATTAAAACCAGAGGGAAGCAAGTTTAAATAAACCAACTCTCTAAACTTTAAGGTTCTCTAGGACGTGATATCCAGAATGGTCAAGTTTGAGAGGGAGATTTCCCCAAACACATACTGGCCAAGTTCACAGTCTACCATTCCCTCTCAGACAAAAGGATATCCCCACCATGACCAGACCCCAATCTCAAGTCACTATGTTCCTTTGGCTTTTCCTTAGATAGACTGTCCATGAATTACAGCTCAAATAAGGAAAAGGAAGGGGCAAGGCCTCGGGCACTTCTGATATCAGAGAAGGGTCCCATCTAGCCTTCTGTTGTTTACACAGTCCTTACCCAGGCTGGGTACATGCTCGGTGCTCCAGAGCCATAATAGCGGTGCCATAGGATACGGGCAGGGCAGCAGCTTCTCGGAGGAGGACTCTTTCTGGAATCCGCCACACTGCCTATAAAAGAGATAACAGTGACTTATGGATTAAGCACATGTACCTGTTCATAAAGGCTGCTCAGTAAATACTATGATTTGATTGAGTGACTGATTTCCAAAGGGAAACACATGTCAGGAACCAAGCCCAGTGGAAATCAAAACCAAGGAAGCTGTAGCCAAGTTCAAGACTTGGGTGCATCAATCTTCAAAAATCCTAGGGTTGCCACCTGCTCAGGAAGGAACCAATTTATGGAGACTGGAACACAGACCACTGTACTATAATGGGTGAATTGGATATTAGGTAAATTTTACCACAATAAAGCTGTGGGGGAAAAAATATGCACTGTTCTCCACTAGGGGGCTCCATTCACATCCTGTACAACCAGATCAGACCACCCTGGCTGGCTCCATTCCCAGGGCTCTTTCACAAGCTTCATGTGGGAGAGAAACCATTACATCCAGCTCAATGCCTCAAACCAGTTGTTCTACCCAAACTGCCTAACTGTGGTCCAATAGGACATACAGTCAGTTGCTCCAGGACTCAGAAAACAAAATGCTTCTACATTAAACCACTCCACACAAAGCTCTGTGCAAGGGTTGTCACGCCAATATAGTAAAGNAACCAGCTGTGTGACCTAAGGAGCATTAGTAAAAACTAACACATAGTACTTACTCTGTGCCAGGCACTGTTCTAAATGCTTTACGTATATTAATAATGTTTCATCTTAATCATCCAGTGATAGACACATTATTATTATCCTCATTCTAGAGATAAAGAAACAAAAGCAAAAGGAGTTAAGTAACTTGTCCAGAGTCACACAGCTAATGGGAGGCAGAGCTGGGATCCTAACCCAAGCTGACCCATCTCTAGCATTCATGGCCTTAACCTCTTAACCTGCCTGCCAACTTCCCTAAGCTTCAGTTACCTCATCCCTAAGATTTACTTTAAGAATACAATGGAGGGGCCGGCTGGGTGGCTCAGTTGGTTAGAGCACGAGCTCTGAGCAAGAAGGGTTGCCGGTTTGATTCCCACATAGGCCAGTGAGCTGCACCCAAGCTGAGCCGCCGCTGAGCTGCCAACTGGTGGCTGGATGACTCAGCTGGTGAGAGCACGTGCTCCTAACAACAAGGTTGCTGGTTCGACTACACTATTCCCTTCCCAAATTTCCCAATAAAATCTTTAAAAGAAAAAAGAAAAAAAAGAATTCAATGGAATACTGTACATAAAGCACCTGGAAAACAAAGTGTTAGATAAATTGAGTCTATTGTTACACATATGCACTCACTTATTCTATTTAAACCTTATAGGAACATGATTGGGAGGTATAACTACTTCCATTCTACAGATGGAGATATAGACCCAGAGTGTTTAAGTAATTAACCCAGGATCATAAGGGAGTAGGTGGTAGAACAACTATTCAAACCCAACAGGCCTGACTCCAAAGTCCATGCTTTCCACTCCGTCGCCCTGGGAGAAAACCCTGCCAAAGAAAGGCCTGGCAAAGATGGCATCAATGGCTGGAGGCCATACTGTGAGGAGCTCTGGGGTATGGAAGTCTCCAGAAAAGCTTCAAACACTCAAACACTGCCTAGGGGTGCCTTCTCACTGGGCAGCACCCACCAGCCCCAGCACTGTGGCCCTAAGGCGACATTCAGAACTTGCATTCAAACACCCAAGAACACCTGTGCCCTTAAGATTCCAAACTCACACATAACTATTTGAAACTGAAAGCTACCCTTAAATACTCCCCAGTGGAGCCCTCAGGTAGCTGCAGCACACAGTGCCACGAAGGGTCAGGCACCTGATTCCGACCCCAGGACTTTCAGTCCATCCAGTGAGACCTGCCATGAGTCACTCTCTCTCGGTGCCTCCCTTTCTTCATCTGTGAAATAGGGATAATAAACATGTACATTACCCATCTCTCAGTGGTTTTCTGAGGGTCAAGGGTTGGATAATTGCTGTGGAGGCACTTTGAAAGCAATATAAAATGCTGTGAATGGAAGGTGTTATCAAAATGACCTGTTCCAAGTAGGTGACATGATCACATTATTTTTATTTTGTTTTTGTTTGCTTTTGCAAAAAAACCATTATTGCTGCTGAAAAAAAATTGCAGCTTAATTTTAATATCTGAATTAAAGTAAATTTTTCTCTCTACTTAACCTCCTGTAAATATGTAAAACAAATGGTATAATTTTATCTTCCT